GTCGTCGTCGTCGTCGTCGTCGTCGTCGTCGTCGTCGTCGTCGTCGTGGAGTAGGTAGGTTGGTAGGTCGGTGGGTGGGAGTGTAGGTAGATAGGTGGGTGGGTAGGTAGGTAGAAGGGGAAAGCTCAGACCAGCCAATGAGAGTGAATCTTTGGCCTACTCAATTCTCAACAACATTCCAGTGCTCCCAGAAGCAATCACAATGGGACGACAGAAATACATCCGCGTGATGGATGATGAAGCAAATCCCAAGAGAGGACAAAAGAGAGAAGTTCAAGCAGAAGATAAGACGGGCAAGGCTCCCCGATCATCTGCCGCCACTGCACCTATGACGCCTGGTGGACTAGAAGGAGAAGATGAAGTCACGATGGCAACAATGAATGGTGAAGATGACTGGAGGAACTCACAACATCACGCAATTCGGGTACACAGCAAGAGGATGACGCAGATGAACCCTTTGACCCTGGCCTGACGGATGAATACAAGGCTTTTGTTGCACAGCGTTTTCGTGAGGAAGCTACGACGCAGGAAGGAAAGGCTTCAAGAACACTGATCTTCGATAAGTGCCCGCCGGAGGTGCGCGAGCGCATCATTGAGGCACGAAAGGCAGAACGCAAGAAGTATTGCCATGTCAATGCCGCAATACCCGTGTATGGACAGCAACTTCAGCAATTGTTGGATGAAGGACATCAGCTCACACCGTCACAATGGGTTGATGTGGACAGGAATGCGCGTCTTCTGAACACAGAGAGGTAGGAACCGGTGGTGACTTGTGGCAACTGTGAACGTGATACAACAAGGGGACACATTGCATTTTGGCATCTTATGCAGCCTCGCGTAGGGTGACCCTCTACTGTGCTGACGTGAGCAGTGCATACTTCCATTCGAATCCCTGGTTACGTACCACCGGACGCCGCTTTGATTGCAAGACTGCCAATTTAGGGAACCGTTGACGCAGGCCGTGATTTCTACCTACGAATGAATGGAGAGATGACGAGTGGAGGCCTGAAGTGCAGTAGGGCCCAGCTTTGTACTACTTGCTCAATCCTGAAGGAAAGTTGAATGGCATGATCGGAACTCACTGCTATCTTGATGAACGAAGGCAAGGGCACCATTGAGAACATCTTGAAGAAGTTCACCATCGGAAAGACTGAGAGTGGCAAGTTCCGCTACTGTGGACGACAGTTCGCGCAGCGTGAGGATTTTTCTGTGAGCGTTTCTACAAGCGAGAACTGCAAGACAGTGAAGCCGATTGAGATCGACAAGAACTGCAAGTTGACAGACAAGGTGACTGAAAAAAAATCACAAGCTTGAGAAGTGTTGTGGGAAGCCTTGCGGGTGCCCGTTATGGCTGACCAGACTTGTGTTATCGCGTGAATGAAACGCAGAGAGCGTGCAGTGCAAAAGCAACGGCGCAAGACTTGTAAATGGCAACCAAAGTTGTGGAGTTGGCGCTTCAAGGAAGTGACCTTCCACATTCAAGAGTGACTGGATCGATTGGAGCGAGTTGGCAATTGTGACTTTTAGCGACGCTAGCTTTGCTGAAGAAGGCTACAAGAGCCAACAAGGAATGATCCATAATTTGACAAGTGCAAAAGACCTTCATGAGAACCAACGCAAGATGCACTTGATTAGCTTTGGATCGACGACCTTGAAACGTGTTTGTGGAGCAACTTTGCAAGCAGAAGCGTATGCGCTCCAGATAGCAGTAGAACATGGGGACAGATTGAGGCGCCTGATCTGTGAACTGACAGGTAAGATTGTTGACGCGAAGAATTGGCATCAAAAGAAGATGGCGCACATGTACTTGACAGACTGCAGGTCATTGTCAGACCACTTGCTGGCTGAAGCATCACGGAAGGCCCAAGACAAGAGACTTGGAATTGAGCTTGCAGCGTTAAGGCTTGGAGACTGGTAGCGTTGATAGAAACATTAATGACTTGACTAGGACCAGAACAAACAACAAGTGCAGCTGAAACTCGGCTGTGGATCCACATCACTAGGCTCCAGCTGATGAAGATATTCACACAGCTCTAGCCCTGCCATTAGTGTGCTCCTCCACTGATACCTAAACGGCCTGGCCATATTGAATGACACCGAGCCAATAGCCACTGTGATCAGTGCTTTGACCCAAAAACACTGCAATAAGACAAAGAGTAAACCCAAACCACCAAAGACAAGGTCCAGATACCAACATACATCCTACCTTTTTTACAGAGTCACACACTATAAAAGATCAGTGAGCACAATGTGGCAGAGATTCTTGCAAATGCTCCAGGGCACTGACAGAGTCCAAAACAATTGTTGAAGTTGGCCAAGCACCACACCTCAAACAGCAAACGCAATCCTCTCAGAACAAATAACAACACTTTGAACCCTTCTCTTAGTTGTAGACTTGCATGAAGGTATTTGCACTCTTGCCACCTGTCAGTCTCTCAGACCTGGACCATATGAGGCTACTGCACGACCTCAGCATGAATTCAACTTTGAACCTTAGCGCAGTAGAACACCTCATTCATTGTTGCGCAATGTGAACAACACACTTTGCTATTTTTGCACTGCAGGCGCACTGCGGTGCAGGCCAAAGTCACAGCAGTCAAACTCAGTGCAAACAATCAATTCAAGCATTGAGATGACTTCAACAAAGTGTATTTGCGGACATTTTCTCAAGCATGAAAAGGCCTCGGAAGTACACTTCACGTTTGTGCGTGTCATCCTCCTGACTCTTGTTTTGCACTCCTCCTTCATGGAGTGAGCCAGGCGTACAGCTGGATTGCTCCATGACTCCATCTTCAATGTGGGAATCCGGGGCAATCCAAAAAGGGATAACGCTTGTCCATGTCTTTGTAGACTTGGAACTTCAGCTCACCATCCCCTCTACGATTTGCACTCGACCACTCATTTTCGAGATGGAGGATGCGCTGCCTTGCCCTTAGGCTTGCACGCAACTTGGGCTGACCCAGGCTCTTCAACAGCCAGATCTGCCCATCTCGGATCCTACCAGCTGTTGCTCCACTCAGTGTGGGGTCATTTTGACCGCTGGAGCCTGATGCCACATTCCTACTCACTTCTCTCTCAGTACTTCTTGTTGTCGGTTCTGAGTCAACCGCCATGTTTTCGACTTCTTCTTCACTCTCTGGTTCTCGCGGTTGCAAGTATGCCGTAGGAATTCTCACTGTCTCACCTGAGTCCAGTTGGACTAGTGCTGTATCTTCATCTTGAAGTTCTTCACTTTCCTCATCTTCTTCCATTGGCTGCCCATCTGGTAGTCGAATACGTCCACGACTTCGTTTGCTTTCCTCTTCTTTGTAGGCGTTCAGCTGTTTGTCCAATCGCCTCATGCCAAAGTCTTTGTTGGACTTTTGGATGTAGTCCCAATAGAGCCACTCCCATGGCTCCACATCTTCTGGGTCGACGTAGCCTGAAGCCTTGATCAAGCCTTTGTGCACCCGCTTCACATAGTCGCGCACATTTCTGATTCCTTCTTGTTACTCATGGCCATATGCACCAATCATCATTCCATTGGTCTTGGCATTGTCCTTGATCTCTGTGAGTTCATTCTCAATCACCTTCACCTTCTTCCACAACAGGTAGATGAT